CGGCTGGAGGGGCCCGGCCCAGGAGGCCTGAGTCGGAGAGCCCGCTTCAGGTACTGGGGGACCAGCAGGCTGGTGGACCAATGTCCAGGCGCAGCTCCCCTGGGATTGGTCCCCTTTCTTCTGCAGAGTGAGGCGGGCGGGGGAAGCCCAGAGGGAGAGCAGTGATGTGCCTGGCTTTGCTTGGCCCCTTTCCCTTCCTGGACCTTTTAAGAACTCCTTCTTAAAAGGAGGTGGGATGGTAGAATGGATGCAGGGGGTCTGGCAAGTGAGAGAGATGCAGTGCCTTCCAGCACCATCATCGAACTGCAGGGCTCAGTTCTCCATTTTTTTCTGCTTTTAGTATCAGCTGAGATGCCTCTTTGTTCCTCGGTTTGTTGAACCGGGGGCAGAGGACAGAGGGGTTCTGAGAGTGCACAGGCACAGATGGGGCCTTATTCTCTATGCAGTGTTTTTGCAGATGAGGAAACCGAGGCCTGGGGCCATTCTCAGAGTGGCTGGAGGTGTGGTCTTCTGATGGAGCACTGCCTAGGGCCTAAGCATGTGGCAAGGTGACTCCAGCCTCACCTTTGAGCCTCAGGAGGCCAGGGTGTGGGTGGAAAGGCTCACCCCAGGTTCTGCGACTCCCCAAGGATGAGCCTGTGCTGAATGCACCATATTTTGGTGGGTGGAGTCTGAGGAAGGCCCACCAGCGTTTACTGGAGGAGGGGCCTGGGTCAGGTGTGTGGCCCCAGCAGACCTGGGAGGTGGCCTGAAGGTTGGCCGGTTTATTTTGGAGAAACTGGCATGAGGTAGGAAGGCCACAAGGACAGATGGAATGGTTCCTGTGTTTTCCTTTGTGATCTTGTCAGGCCCAGTCTCTTATCAGGTGAGGAAATAAGAGGACTGGAGCCTTGAAGAGATTTTCCCAGATCCTGCACTGCCAGGGGCCCCGGGAGGTCAGACTAGATCTCAGAGCCTGTGGGGCGGAGTGGTCCTGGGGTGGGTGGGGGCCAAGAAGCAGGCTCTGCACTGTCTTCAGTGCACTTGGTCCAGAAGCTGCTGCCTCTGAGAGGAGCGCGGAGCTGGGCCTCCCCCTCCATGCCTTCACTGCCAGGCAGGTGGGAGTGACCAGGCGTGCATCTGCCGACCAGAGGCAGCCAAGCCCCTGGCCTGACACAGTGTGTTGGGATGAGGGGGCCTGGCAGGTGCCGACTCAATGGAGATGTGCTGGCCCAGGGTGGGTGGTGCCCGCTGGCCGCCCGCTGGCCCTCCGCTGACCCTGGCCGTGTGCGGCCATGTGCCCTGCAGGTTGCACTTCCCTCAGCTGGCCCTGAGGCGGAGGCTGGGACAGCTGAGCTGCATGTCCAAACCCGCCCTGAAACTGCGCTCCTGGCCCCTGACGGTCCTCTACTACCTCCTGCCCCTCGGCGCCCTCAGGCCGCTCAGCCGGGTGGGATGGAGGCCTGTGAGCAGGGTAAGTGTGCAGGTTGCTGGCCTGGCCTCCCCAAGACCCAAGAATCCTGGAGCTGTGTCAGATAGAGGTGGCGCTGTGAGGGCCGAGCCTGCTGGCAGGGTTGTCTTGGAAGGCGAGTTGGTGGTGAGGGTGGGGCTGGTCAGTGGCCATGGGGGCTGAAGACAGGTGACTGTAACAGCCTGCTGTCCCCTGCCTGCTCTCTTTGCCTGCATTTGTGCCATGTGGGGGCTCTGCTTCTGGAAAGAACCAGTGGTGTCTGTCTCATTTCCTGTGTTTAGGCAGAAAAGAGCTTAGAGCTGATTTTGAGAAGAATCCAAATTAATTTCTGGATGCCAGAGGGCGGTTCAGGGAGGCTGGAGCCTGTGTGGTACCTTAGGGTGAGGATGCCTTTGAGGACCCAGGAGGCCCAGACAGGGCTGGGTGAGGGAGCAGCCTGGCTGCACGTGGCTCTCAGGGCAAGCTGACCCCAAGGAGGAAACTTGCTCCCAGGCCCTTGGACAGCCCAAGTGGGCGTTACAAGGGCTTGAAAGCTCAAGGCCACCTTAGGGGCACTGGGCCTGAGATCACATGGCAGTCCTGGGCCGGCCCTGTGGACGGGCATCAGCTGGGATGGCTGGGAGCCACTAGCTCAGTACCTTATAGAGCTGTTTCAAGTTGGGATGGAATCATTTCTCCACCTTGGGGACTTGGTGTCTTGGTTGAGTGCAGCAACCAGCAGCCACCCATCAGAGGCAGATCCCACTGTGGAAACGGCACCTGAGGTTTGAGAGGCTGCCCCTTCTGGGTCGCCAGGCCTGGCGTTTGGCTGGAGGATCTGATGGAGGGGCCGATTTCCCTCTGCTTCCTGGAGGAGCTCTATCCTTGCAGACTGGCCCTGCCACAGGTGGGCTCAGTGGTGTGTTCAGGCCCTCGAGGTGCAGGTGTCAGTGCTGAGTATCTCCTGCCAGAGTCCCCAGCCTTGGGGTGAGACGAGCACGTGCACGTTAGGGGGCAGCTCCCTATGCTGGTCTGGGACGCGGGCGGCACTGCCTCTGTGAGAAGGTACCAGATCCGTTTACACCCCTTAAGTCAGACCGTGCCGGCCAGTCTCCTCCAGGACTAGGGCAGTCGCTGTGGGAGCCTGCGGGAAGTGGCTGGCACACCTGTGTCGCAGGCTTAGCCTGGACTGTTTATGAGAGATTTGGAAGCTCAGTCTGGTTCCCGCTGAGAAACCACATCACAAAGCCCTTGTGGGCTGCCAGCTGCCCAGGCCTTTGGGGGAGGTAGCCCCAGGGGCGGGGGGTGAGTGTGCCTGGCGTGGCCGACTCACCCGTTCTCCCATGGCCCGCAGGTGGCCTTGTACAAGACAGTGCCCACGCGCTTGCTGTCGCGGGCCTGGGGCCGCCTCAACCAGGTGGAGCTGCCGCACTGGCTGCGCAGGCCCGTCTACAGCCTGTACATCTGGACCTTCGGGGTGAACATGAAGGAGGCCGCAGTGGAGGACCTGCACCACTACCGCAACCTCAGCGAGTTCTTCCGACGCAAGCTGAAGCCTCAGGCGCGGCCCGTGTGTGGCCTGCACAGCGTGGTGAGGCCCAACCCTGCCTCCCGCTCCTCCTTGTACCTTTCGGAACTGGTGGCGGGTGGGTGCTCCCCCCTGGCCCTGCCCTCCGTTCCCTCCCCCCACAGCCAGCCCTCTCCTGGTCCTTCCAGATCAGCCCATCGGATGGGAAGATCCTCAACTTCGGGCAGGTGAAGAACTGCGAGGTGGAGCAGGTGAAGGGGGTCACCTACTCGCTGGAGTCATTCCTGGGTCCACGCACCTCGGCTGAGGACCTGCCCTTCCCTCCAGGTGGGTCCTCACCTGGTCGCAGCCAGGCCGCCCTGCCACAGTTGCTGTGCTGGGCGTTGTGAAGAGGGTGAAGGGCAGGAGTGGGGGGGGGGGCACTGGGAAGGCCCCGTGCTGGGCAGCATCAAGGGCTGGTCTGACAGCTGGCCCCGGGCCTGCCCCTGTAGCCACCTCCTGCAGCTCCTTCAGGAGCCAGCTGGTCACCCGAGAAGGGAACGAGCTCTACCACTGCGTCATCTACCTGGCCCCCGGGGACTACCACTGCTTCCACTCCCCCACCGACTGGACTGTCTCTCACCGACGCCACTTCCCAGGTAGGCTGGGGCCAGCTCGGGGGAGGGAGCGGTCCCCGCGGGAGCTCCAAGGCTGGGGTCCACTCTGCACTTAGGGTGTTCTGGGGGTGACACTGGGTCTTGGGTACTCCCAGAGTAGATGCTGTGGGCAGGGAGTGGCATTGTTTCTGCCCCTACAGGCTCTCTGATGTCTGTGAACCCTGGCATGGCCCGCTGGATCAAAGAGCTCTTCTGCCACAATGAGCGGGTGGTCCTGACTGGGGACTGGAAACATGGCTTCTTCTCACTCACGGCCGTGGGAGCCACCAATGTGGGCTCCATCCGCATCTACTTTGACCGGGTAAGCAGAGCCCAGGTCCTGCTGAGGCCCCAGGTCCATGGGGACCGTAAATTCTACAAGGGCAAGTCTCCCACTTCCCCACCCCATGTGCACCTCTCACCCTGGTCTCCAGGTAGCTGGAGAGGGAGGGGATCACCCTCCCTGCCGGGCACTTTGCTTCTGCCAGGATTGCAAGGGGAGTGCGGAGCTTGGGGTGGGATGTGCTGATGGAGGCCAAGTGTGTGAGGGACGCCAGTGCCCACAGGACTCTTCTCCGTGTTGGTTTTGCAGCACCCTTTGTGCTGGTGAACAGCTGGGTCTGATGCCTCTACATTCACAGCCGATCAGGCGCTGCCTAGTTAGACCCGGTCCATGGCCTGAGCTGCTATCCCTACCTCCCTTTCTGAGCAGGGCTTGGGGACAGAGGGTTTGGGACAGCACGAGAGGTGTGTCCAAGGTCCACATGCTCTGCTCCCGCCTCCCCTAGGACCTGCACACGAACAGCCCACGGTACAGCAAGGGCTCCTACAATGACTTCAGCTTTGTGACACACACCAACAAGGAGGGCATCCCCATGCGCAAGGGCGAGCACCTGGGCGAGTTCAACCTGGGCTCCACCATCGTGCTCATCTTCGAGGCCCCCAAGGACTTCAACTTCCAGCTGAAAGCAGGACAGAAAATCCGATTTGGGGAGGCTCTGGGTTCCCTCTAGAGCCTCTTTCCTGGCCACGGCTGCTACGGGGTCTCTTCCAGAGAAGCGTGTTCTGAGGAGGACCTCCGAGGCTGTCTGGGGAAGGGACTGTTGAGTCTGACCAGGCAGGACCTGGGTGACTTGTGTCTCTGCTGCCCAGGGGTGCAGACAAGGTCATCAGAGCCCTTGGCATGCCCCTAGACCAGTGTTGTCCCCTTTCCCACCTGAAGACAAAGTGCAGGCTGGGATGGTCTCACATTTCCTCTTGGAGATACTTTCTAACAAACATGTCATATAAACTAGAGACCCGACCTCTCCTGGCCGAGCATTCAGTTGGTCTTGATTTCCATTCTGAGATAAGTGGTAGTACCGTACCTTCTTGCTGCTCCTCCCAGCACTGCTTTTTGGCCTCCCTTGCACGGGGTGAGGTGCCTCCCAGCACTGACTGTGGGTCCTCGCTGTCCCCGAGCGGGGCCATGGGGCCTGGAATGCAGCCGCTTCCTATTCCCAAATTTGCCCCACCCTGCTTGTTGGGAAAAAATGTCTTTTCTCTCCGCACTTGTGGCTGAACTCTGCCAGCAACCCCCCAACTGTGCCAGCAGTTTAGGGGTGGCCACTAATGGGTCGGTGCTTTGCAGGCCCTGATGACTTCTGGAGCTGGTTCGTCCTCTTTCTAGTGGGCAGGACCCATGATTAAACCCGCTCAGGGGTGTTTCCAGTGACTGGGGCAGGCGGTGGTGGCCCAGCTGGGGTCAGGGGAGAGCCTGTGTCCCCTCCCTATATCCAGACCTACATAAAATATGGGAAAGTTGCTGCTATAGACTCAGCGGCGTGTGTTGGAGGTAGAACCTTGGTCTGTCTGGTATGTGTGGTGGGGGAGGGGGGAGGGAAATGTCAGTGCCTAGAAAACCTGTCCCCAGGTAACAGGTACGCAGTCCTTGGGGAGCCACTGATGGTGGGGACAGGGCCAGGTTTCATGTTTCCTGGGGACGCTGTGAATTTCTCCTGCAGGAGAAGCCATTTGAACTTTTTCAACTGTATCAGTAGCACTGTATTTTTGTATGAAAAGTGGGAGACTTCTGAACAGTGATTCATTTAATTGCAACATTTTGCAATAAAAAAAAATTCATTGCAGCTTTGCGTTCTGTTCCTGGATGTGGGCCCAGGGTGATGACTAGTACAGAGCCTGCCGCAGGGCCTGGACACGAGCAATGCAGGCACGGATGGGCTGGCGCTGGGCCCGGAGCTCGGAGGCTAGCTGTTGGATCTGCAGCTCCACCTGGGGAGGGGAGAGGTGGGCCAGACTGAGAGGAAGGACAGCCCAGAGCTGTCCCATGGTGCTTGGAGTCTTACCTCCTGCAATTCTTCATGCACCTGCTGCTCCGCTTCCTGGTCCTCGGGCCTGGACTCCTCCCGACTCAGCTCCAGCCACCGCCTCAGGCTGCTTGCTTGCCGCTGGCAGGACCTGGGGGAAGGATGCACCTGCTGCCTGGCTGGACCCCAGGCAGAGCCTCTGGCTTGGGCACAAGCACACCAATTACTTGTGGTGTGGGTGGAGGGAGAAAGGCTCCCATTCCCTCCTCTCCCCTACTCCACTCGTCTTCCCTGCACTGAGCTGGCTGCCTGGGACCCACGTGCTTCCCTCCCTCGTCCCTCCTGCTCACATTGAGGGTCTCAGGCCTGGGCGTGGGGGACACAGGCCTTGCTCCCAGACCCCAGGCAAGGGCAGTTAAAAGCTTCATCCTGCATCACAATCACAACCGCTGGGTAGACACCAGCTTCCACATGACAGGCTTAAAGTTTTGCTCAGCTTTTCCCGCAGGTAAAGCTCACCTGGGCCTTCCTGAGCAGGACTGAAGGGGAACGGTGCCGCCTGCGTGGGGGCCGGCAGGTATTTCTGGGTCTCACCTGAGGTTCTGCTTCGTGGTCTGGTAGTCCTGTAGTTGCTGCTGGATGCCCTCTAGCTCAGCCTCCAGGCTGGAGTGACTGGTGGCAACAGGCAGACAAGCTTGATCTTCACCATCCTGCCTGCTGGGCCCAGGATGAAACCAGGGATCCGTGGTGCCCGGAGTGGCCCGAGTGCTCGAGGCACCGACAAGCCTCAGGTGCACACCCACAGCATCACAGCCACCAGGCCTGGCTGTGAAGTCCCCAGGAAGGAGCAGACGGGGTTTGGGGACACCAGCCAGGGATGGAGAGGCCTGGGGCGTTGGTCGTGCTGACACCTGTAAAGGAAAGACAGACACTGAGCAGGGAAGCTGGGAGGAAGGCGGGGAGGGAGCCCTGCGGCACCAGGAGCTGGAGTTCCCCACACCAGCCACAGCTCACCCCTTCGGCACCTGACACCAGTGGAGAGAGTCCCACAAGCAACCAAGGGACACCTGCTCCTCTGTGGTCCGGCCCCACCACTTCCCCAGAGCCTGGCTTAGCACCACCTAAGCCGCTGTTTCAAGCCCTACTGACTCCTTCACCCCTGCAACGCCCCTAGCTGAGACCTAGCACTTAAGTGAGGAAAGTAGTCAGAGGCAACTATTCCTGTGCAGGCACAGCTACAATTTTCCTCCTTCCCTCCCAGTGACGGTGCTGCCTGGTGGGAATGGCCTCTCCTGTCCCCCACTCCCTCATCACCCCCACTGAGGTCGAAGCTCCTCAGACACCAGCTCCCTGGAGGGCACAGGCCCCCGCTGCCCTTCTGTGACCGCACACTTGTGCCTTCTCACACCTCCCTGCTCGGACTCTGACTCCTGCGTCACAGGCCCCCGAGTCGTGGCCCCATTGGTTCTCAAGAGGTCACCTCAACCTGTGCTGCTGATTCTGAGTTTTGATCTCCAGCCCTGACCTTGTCCCTCAAGGCCATACTCAGAATCCATCACTTTTATCTCGAATCTGACAGGTTCAAGACAGACTCTTCATGCTTCACCCCACTGGGTCCCCACCCCCAGTCTTTCCTCTCACAGTAAAAGAACATTAGTTTCTGAGTTATTCAGGCCAGAAACCCAGGAACCATCCTGGATTCCTTCTTTTCCTCTCAAACACATCAGAGCAAGTCCTACCTAGTCTGTCTCCCATGACATCTACAACCACCACCTCCGTCCCAGCCACAAGCATCTCCTGCTGGACCAGAGCACAGCAGCCACCATCCTCCACAACTTCCTGTTCTTAAAATCCAAACTTCTCACTAGGGCCTGCACGACCCTCCGTGATCTGCACTCTCTTCATCTGTCTGCATGTAGTTTTTTTGTCTCCACCTCCAGGACGTAAGCTCACCAGCCCAGGGGCTGCTCACTGCTGTGTCCCTGGGACCGTGGTCTCCCTGCATCTTCCTGAGCCCAGAGTGTTCCAGAAGCAATGAGTATAGCTGCAGTTACAGCACCAAGCGCACAAAAACGAGCACTAGCCCTAAAGCCAGACCGAAAAGCAGGGACCCAGGTGATGGGGGACTTACCCTGGCAGGTGCTGCAGCCTCACTGGGCAGGAAGGAGGGAGGGGGCAGCTGCTCCCAGCCTGCACTCACTACAGGGGGCAGCTTCAGGCCAGGCGCACTTGGCAGGGGGCTGCCTGGGTCCAGGGCTGTCCGGGCCTTTGCCAGGAAGGGCGTCGTCAAGCAAGGGCCTGCTGGCTGGACCACGCCGAGACCACGGTCCCACAGTGCCTCAGGCCTGAGCAGAGGGAAGGCAGGCGCTGGAAGCAGGAAGGAAAGGGGGCCACCCACCCTACAGCCCCAGAACCACACAACCTACCCCTGTCCCTTGAGGGTGCCGTGCCCCAGGGGCGTCTGGCTCTGCAGGGGCTCCAGCAGGAAGTTTGGGCGTCGAGGCTGCTTCCTCGCCCAGCGGGCAGCATTGCTGGGACGAAACACAGGCCGTTCACCCAGGCTGCCCAGGGGCTGCTGGGAGCCTGAGACCTCTGTGGGGTGGGGTCATCCAGTCCGAAACCTTCAATCTTAAAACGGAGACTTAAGGCCGGAGAAGGAAAGGCTCTTGCCCCAGAGCCCACTGAACTAGTAACTCCACTGATGAGAGCCGGCACCTCGGGACGCCCTACCCGTGTTGCCTCCTCTGACCTCTAAGGCAACACAGGCTCCCCTTAGGGTTGGCCCTTGTCAGCTGCATCAGCACAGCATGTGGGGATGGGGCAGGGGCCAGGTCACAAAGGAGTGGGGTTCCAGACAGGGTGCCTGTTTCCTGGCTGTAGCAGAATTAAGTGGGGAGGCCACCAGGTCCTGGGGTGGGAGGGGGACTGCTCCACAGCCATGACCCTCAGGGCTCGGCGTCCTCCTTCCAAGCTCTGGCCCAGGTGGAAGTGCAGAGGCAGGGGTGAGGGATGGGCTACTCACAGCTCCAGGAGTTGGGGGTCCCCGGCGGCCGATGCCAGGCTGCCTGGAGCTCCCCGAGGCCCACGAGGAGCTGGTGGCCTCTTGATGTCCAGGGAAGCATCCCCAGCCCCAGTGGCAACATGGCTGGGAAGGGGACCCTCAAAGGTCACTCTTCTGCTGGACACAGTGGATGTGGGGGGCCGAGGCTCCCGGCCTAGGCCCAGTGCCTTCTGTTTCCAGAGCATGGCACAGCGATGGACTGTGCGGTGGAGACTGTGGGCCGCCTGCAACCAGCCTCTGGTCAGGTCATGCTGACCCTGCCTGCCCCGACGGAGGGGTCGGGGGACACCCTGGGCCTACCTGCACCTGCTGCTGGGCGTGCAGCTGCTGCCGGAAGGCCTTCGTGCCAGCTGCGAATCGCAGGAGGCGCGTGATGCCCTCCCGGAGGAGCTGCTGGTGGTAGACCTGCACCGCCCGCTCCTGCCGCGCCGCCTTCCTCCTCCTCTCTAGCACGAAGCCCAGCCACGCGGTCCACACCTCCAGGAGAGGAGGAGGTGAGCCCTAGCCGCCCGGCTAGGCTCCCTCAGGGGATGTGCCCACACCACCCCCGAAGGCAGGTCCTCTCCTGGGACGGGAGCCCTGTTACCTTTGCCTGTAGTGAGAAGGCCCAGAACCACAGGGCTCGCGCCGTGTCCTGCTGCTCCCGCCTCCTGTACACCAGCTGCTGGCCAGGAAGGAAATACCACCACGTGGCTTGGTCACTCTCAGACCCCACTCTGGTCAGGCGCTGCCCTCCCTCCATGAAAGGGCCCAGCCCTGCCTGGCCCTGTGGAGGGGATCAAGGAAACTCCTCTGGGAAGAACAAAGGCAAAGAGCTGTGGAGTCGGGAGCTGGGGCTGTGGTGGGCTCCAGGAGGAAAGCTGGGATGGCGCTGCAGGAGAGGAGAAAGGGGCCTCCTGCGAGGAAGCTTCACCCAGCAGGACGCAGGCCCGCCCGGGGTTTTATCAAGGCCTCAGCGAAGACCTAAAATGCATTTCTTATTCATTTTTGGACATTACCCTGGTTATGTTTTCAATGTGACACTAGAAACAGTGATTTCAAGTGACCTGGCCTTAAGTAGGTCACAAGTGAAGGAAGCTGGTGGTGCCAGGAAGTGACTAGGGGTAGCAGGAGCCCTGGGAAGAGGGCAACGTTAGAAACTAGATTTGAACTAGAGGCGTGGGCTCAGGACGCAGAGGAGGTGGGGGGGCTTCTCCAAGCTCCCACCTGTTGTCTCCACCGGCGGAAGCAGGCCCGGCTGAGTGTCCGGGCCAGGAGTCGGGCGGCCTGCCTCTGAAGGAGCTGCGGAGAGAGTGCGTACAGGGATCTGTGTGCCCGAGCGGTCAGGTGCCCAGAGCACCTGGGGACAGCACAGGGTGAGAGGCTCCAGGCCCATGTGAACTCCTCCCACCGCCAGGGCCAAGGGCCTCCTGACCAGCAGGGGCGTCCAGGTGCCTCTGTAGGTCGCCAGGGCCTGACAGGCCATGGTTCACAGCAAGCCAGGTCCCCTGCTGAGCCATCTTCCACCTGGGTAGATGGAACCCCGGCCTTCACTAAGCACCCAGACAGGCTCCTGCAGCCTTGTGCCCGCAGGACCCCAACCACCTAGCATCCACACTTGGCTGCCACGAGTTCTGCAGGAAGGACCTTTTCTCCCCAGACGCTGTCTCCCGCCCAGACAGCCCTGCCGCACAGGCGAACTGGGAGCTGCTGCCCGCCTCACCCGCTTCCTCATGCAGCCCAGGTGGTGCGCCTTCCACCGGGCCAGGGCCTGGAGCAG